TAACTTGATTATATCTACAAAGACTATTTCCAAATATAGTTAACTTTCTGAGTTTCTCGGTGGACGTGAATTTTGGGAGACACTCTTCAACCGGGAATAGTCCATCCTCTGTACCCCCTCCCCCATTTATATCCATCCAACATGCAAAATAAATTCACCCCATCCTGGCATCTCCAAGTCTTAACCCATCCCAGCATTAACTCTAAATCTCATCCAAATCTCATCAACTCATAAAGTTGCAAATCTCATCATCTTAATCATCTAAATCAGGTATGAGTGAGACGGGTATGATCCATCTTGGGGCAAAGTTCCTCTCCATCTGTGGATCTGTGATACCAGAACATAAGTCATCTAAAATACAGTGGTGGGAGAGGCATAGGATAGACATTCCCATTCTGAAAGGGAGAAGTTGGGAGTAAAAAGGGGGTCATGTGATTCCCAGACAAGTTCAAAACCCGGCGGGGCAAATTCTGATAGGTCTCAAAGCCTAACGGTGCATGCTTTGTCCTCTGGCCCCTGGAGCCCCACCCTCTTGGACCTCTTGCTTGCTCTCTGGAGTTCTTCCTTAAGAGTGATAACATTCACAGTCCAGTAGTTCCAGCTCTGTCAGCCTCTTTCTTGCCTCTGTGTGTAATACCTATACATGTTGATATATGTACATTTTTTCTACTATTTTTTTGCTCAGTCATGAAACAGCTTCTGATTTTGTATTTTTTTTTTTTTTTTTGAGACATTGTCTCACTGTTATTGCCTGGGGTAGAGTGCCGTGACATCATAGCTCACCACAACCTCCAACTCCTGGGCTCAAGTGATCCTCCTGCCTCAGCCTCCTGAGCAGCTGAGACTAGCTGGGACGATAGGCGTGTGCCACTGCATATGATTAGCTGATTTTTCTTTTTTTTCTTTGTAGAGACGGGGTCTTGCCGTGTTGCTCAGGCTGGTCTCGAACTCCTGGTCTCAAGCAGCCCTTCCTCCTTGGTCTCCCAAAGTGCTAGGATTACAGGCATGAGCCACCATGCCAGGCCTGATACCTACACATTTAAATAAATACATGTAAGAGTAACTGAAGCTTAGGACTGCTTTTAAAGAGATCCTTTGTCAGTAAAATACAAGAGGCTTCGTGCATATAGTTTGTGAAACCTATATTGGTAGCTTAGACATTTTTGTTTAATTCTAGGCTTGCATCTAAATAAATTCCTGGACAATGAGGTAAGTTAAGCATTACTTTGTACATATTAGCTCAAATTTTAGAAGACTGTCACCTCCCATAGCAGCAAGACTTAGAAAGTGAAACTCTTAGAACTAATAATGTGACTTACTATCCTAAGCTAAATTTTGATATTGTGAAGCAAGTAAACAGGTGAACATTGCTCAACTCCCTCCAGAAATAACTGGCCCGTTTTTTTTTTTTTAAGACTGAGGTGCTGTTGCATGTACACATTGGTGACCCTGTTGTGTAGAGAAATTGGTGTACTTGGGCTTTGAGGTTCTAGTACTAGTAGGATTTTTTTCATAGGCCTGCAATAGTAGTAGCGAAGGGTATTGGATCTGAATGATTTTGTTGCAGGTTACTGTTGTGTTTAAAATAAAATTTTTAGTTTCTGTGTGGTCTTGATTAGTTAATCATTGCAGAATACAGTATCTAACATTACTTTCCCTAAAGATTAAGTAATAAGGTGGAGGAGCAGGCTTTTCTAAACCTGACTGGTGGTTTTATAGGTTTTTTAGACATTTTATCTTTTGTGTATATAATATATATGCATATATACATATGTATACATATACACATATATGTATATAATATGTGTGCACACACTTATTCTTAAATGTTCAATAGGATAATTAAATAGAAGAGTGTAACAGACATGAATATGTGATGGTATTATTAGGAGGATTTGCCAGTGTATATGTCCAGTAATTGTGTTATCTTCAGATAGTTTGAGGGACAGATTTAATGTTTTGCTGATATTTCCTACTGATTTCTCTTCATTCTAGTTTCCTAGGTGAAGTATGTACTTAACAGAATTGTACCCACAGTGTATTTCCACTATAATGCCACACTGGGGCACTGTTGTGCTTTCGCTGAATTATTTACAAAATCACCTTTTCCTGTTGCTGTCACATTTTCTATTTTGTGGACTAGATAAAATGCTCTCAAAAGTATATGAAAACGTACTCATATTGGATACTTTCTCAGCTATACATAATGAGTTATGTGATTGCTTTCTAGTGATTGTGCTAGATTGATTGCCTTTTATGTTAATCAGTTTTTTATTAGCATGCATATTTAAAAGGTTTTTCCTTGATTGCATCATCATATTTAGTTAAAAATCAAAGGGCTTCTTGGAGGCTATGAAACTAAAAATAAAAGAGACAAAAATATGCTCTAGGTGACAACAGGTATATCTTTTTAAATTTAGGTTTTTTGGCTATTATTCCATTAAAAATGCAGTTCCACTCAAAATATATAATGCTGTCTTCCAAACCCAAGGTAACTATTCTTCCCATTGTCATCATGTTACTCCCTGTTTGTGCCAGAATCCGTTCAAGAGGAAACAGTTTGTGATTTATGTAGGTAATAGTGCTCTCAGTATTTAAAATCTCCAGATTTACTTCAGTCACTTTTGATAGCTCTCTGTTTTTACTTTCCTTAAGATGTTCTTTAGGATGTTATTTGTCAAGCCAGTATATACTAGTGATGCATCGAACAAATGTTTTTTATTAAGGGGCTTCTAGTTAGTCTCAGTAATGTGTTGAGGAATAGACACCGGACTGTCAGAGGGGTCCATGGCTCCAAAAGGGGGTAAGAATCCCTTGCCATAGGACTCTTAAGATCTCAGTTGAATATTTCAGTGCTTGAAAATAAATGAGGATCTTTGTCTTTTTTTTTTTTTTTTTTTTTTGAGACAGTCTCGCTTTGTTGCCCAGGCTAGAGTGAGTGCCCTGGTGTCAGCCTAGCTCACAACAACCTCACACTCCTGGGCTCAAGCAATCCTTCTGCCTCAGCCTCCCGAGTAGCTGGGACTACAGGCATGTGCCACCATGCCCGGCTAATTTTTTCTATATATTTTTAGTTGTCCGATTAATTTCTTTCTATTTTTAGTAGAGACGGGGTCTCGCTCTTGCTCAGGCTGGTCTCGAACTCCTGACCTTGAGCGATCCACCCGCCTCAGCCTCCCAGAGTGCTAGGATTACAGGCGTGAGCCACCGCGCCCGGCCAGGATCTTTGTCTTGATCCAAAGTACCACGTATCATTGTAGTATCATCAGAAATATTTCCTAGCTAAACAAGAGGAGACTATTTTGACTCCTTTGAAGTGAGGATAATGGGAGAATTGTAAATATTAATAGTTTTGTGAGAAAACTGACTTTTAATGTTTTCTGCCCTTGAGATAACTATGGGAAAGGTATGTAGTTACTGTTGGAGAAATTGTAAACTTCCTATGAAAATAAGGACCATGGTTTATTTTGCTCATCATGATAATATGTAGCACTTGGGTGTTTTTAGTGAATGATCATAATGAAATTCTAATTGTCAAATTTCCATGGGGTGAGTTAGTGATTAAATGCCAGTAAAGCATTAAGTAGGGGGGTTTGACATCTTCTTTCCAGACATATTTCTCCCCATAAGAAATACCCATGGAGAGTTGTGGTGTCAGCTATCACTTTAGGAGTTACAGTCAACCAGTTGGGAGTGCCAGATTTTGGAATTAAGTATTTTAGAAATCAGAGTTGGAGTAAACAAGCCATATTAACAGAATCTGCAAAGGGACTACCCTCAAAAGGTTTTCTGGAAAATAATACAATCACGAACTAAGGCTACAGGGCAGTAAGACATTTAAGAAGTAATTACCAAATAATAATTAACATTCATTTATTCATCCAGTAAATGTTTGTGCTTCATCTATCTCGGGCCAGGCTCTCTGATAGGCCCACTAGGCTGCTAAGTTAATGAGGGCAAGAACAATGACCAGTTTGTTTTTCACTGTTAGTTCAGTGCGTATTTGTGTAATGTTTGTACATATCCTGTATATTTGTAGAATAAATGAATGATGATGGAAAGTTCTTGCCTTGTGGTAAAGACAAACACATAATGGTAATATTTTGGAAGAATACAATGAGAAATCTACCATGTCTTTATTTTGTATCTTAATCCTTAGTTCTGAGAATCAGATCCTTTGAGTCGTATCTTTTATTATTTATTTTTAGAATGCTGTGTAATATTTTGTTGGAATAGTGGAGTAGCTCCACTATCTGTGGAATAATGGCGCTAAAGATCTGATTTTTTAAAATGAGCTTATTTCACAGTAACAGCCACAAGAAATAGAAATTAAAATGTTTTCATTTGGAGAACTCATTTGAAAACATGTTGAAAAACAGTTATTTTGAAGGAACTAAGTATATATTAATTTTCTAGTCACAGCAAAAACTTAAGAGTAGAAAAACAATTCCCAGAAAATTACAATAAAAGAATTATTCTCCTTTTTTTCCCTATGATATAATAAAGTAAAATTCTGAACCCTAGAATAGTATTTTAGGTTCCGTTTTAGGAATGTTTGTTACGGATTTCTGATAAATATTCTGTTATATAGGAAATTTCCTTTTAGTTGTTTAGAATTTATAACAGGTTTGGCTGCTACATTTTATCAAATTTTTTTGGACATCTATTGATACAACTGTATCAATTTTCTGCTTGATTATTTAATAATTCACAGAATTTCACTGATTCGTGTTAAACTACTCTTGTGTTCTGGCTTAACGCCCGCTTGTGGTGCATTATTCTTTTAATTCCAAACTCTCTTTTATTTGCTGATACTTTGTTTAGGATTATTGTGAATGTATTCAAAAGTAAGGGTGACCTATAGCTTTCTTTTCTGTGCTTAACAATTTTGGCAATAGAACAGCTGCGTGTGTGTGTGTGTGTGTGTGTGTGTGTGTGTGTGTGTGTGTGTGTGTGTAATGGAACAGCTGTTTTTAATTCTGTATTTCCTTAATTGACAGGTCGTGGTTCGATCCCAGAATTCTTTCATATTATGAAAAGAAAGTTTACCAACAAAGAATGGGAAACAATCAGAAGCTTTAAGGATGAATGGACTCAGTTGGATATGTTTTATAGGAATTGGGTATAATTCCTTTTTAATTTTGAAAATAATATATAATATATTGATTCCATTGTCTTCACTTAAAATAGGAGTAAAAGACCTTTGGTCACCTGCTAGTTCATATAGTACTTGAAGTAAATGGGTGATTGCTTGAGAACTTTTTGATTTTTTATGCATACAATAGTACATTATAATGACATTTATTTTAAGACAATTTAACCTATATTTTATGCTCAATTGGAAAGTATTCTTAAAGCTAACAAAAATATTTATCATCATTTGTAAATGTTTACTGTCTTAAACTAATACATGAGGCCTTATATAACAAACACTTATATAATATTTACTACATGCCAGAAGACATTACTTCAAGCTCTTCATAAATTAGTTAATTTAATTCACATAACAACTTTATAAAGAAGATACTATATTATCATTGCAGGTTTCACATGAGAAAATAATGGTACAGAGAGCTTAAATGATTGGCCTTAAGGCCACGTGGATGGTTTGTCTCCATGCTACTGTAAGGGTGAAAGCATAGCTTGTAGCCATAATGTAGTATAGAGTTAAAAAAATTCATATGTATTGGTCCTGTAGATTTTATGAAAAGTTTTATCTACAGAATTCTAAAAGAAAATATCTCTCTGTAACTTAGGCACTGAAAGAAAGCTTCATAAAAGCCATTGGTGTTGGACTAGGATTTGAATTGCAACGGCTTGAATTTGATATATCTCCATTAAACTTGGATATAGGCCAAGTTTATAGAGAAACACGATTGTTCTTGGATGGGGAGGAAGAAAAAGAATGGGCATTTGAGGTAAGAAATTTATTAGAATTGTTATAACTAAGAATTTTCGTATTTTTTGCATGTATGTGTGATTAATTTGGGGAGGCTTAGTCATTGCAGATAGGCACAATTGGAATCCAATCCTGGTGTTCTGAAAGTAAAGTCAGGAATACTATGAGAGCATATAACATTTAAGCTGATACTTGAAAGGTGAGTTGTGATGAGTTAAATAGAATGGGAAAGGAAAAGAAGACCCTAAAATAGAGCTTTGTTTGTGTGAATAGCCAAGGGGAAGCCACTTTGGTTGGACCATAAGGAGGGGATTTGAGAGAGATTCCTCAATTAGGCTGGTAGATCAGTGGGACATTATTGATCCAGTTAAATAAAGATTTTGGTTTCTTTCTGTATTTTGTTTCTGTCACTAACAATTTTCAGTTGCTAGTGAGAGAAACCTGACACAAACTCATTTAAGCCAAACAGTATTAGAGGCTACTAGGGTAACTTAGTAACTGGGCCTTAGAATTAGGGACTAGAATACTCAGAGCTCTTTTTATCTCTTCCTTTTGCCTTTTTGTGTGTCTTGGCTTCAGTTTTCTCCCACTTTTGTTTTTCCTCTACACAAAATTTCTCAGCTTCTCCTGTCTACATGACAGGACACATGGCTGCCTGCCACTCTTGCATTTTAGCAGTTTATAGTTGAAAAAACCCAAGGAAACTGGTGAACTCCCTTTCTTTTCCAAGCCCAAAAAAGCTAGAGAAGGGACTCCGGTGGCCTAACTTGAGTCAAGTATTAATATTTATCTCCAGACCTATCACCGTAGCCAAGGAAGTAGCCTATTGTCATTGGTCCTGCTTGTGTCAGGTGTTAAGAACGCAGCAAATGGGCTGTATTTTAATGTGAATATTCCTATTGTAATCAGCCGAATGGTGTGCAGAGAAGGTCAGCTTTCAGAATAGAGTTGTGAGTGGATAAAATAGGAGGTGTTCACTGATTTTTCTCAAGAGAATTTAACAGGTGTAAAGTAGGGTGCGATAAAATCAAATTCGTATTTTAAGATCGAGTCCTGTTTACTATGGTATGTGGAGGTAAAGGAAGTGAGGTGTCAAAGATGTTATGACCAGTTCTATGACTTAAAAGCTCACCTATTGAGATACAAAACACTAGAAAACAAATGGGATGTTAAGTTGGAGATGCCCTAGAAACACCCAAGTGAAGATGTCAAGTAGGCAAATAGAATGAAGGACTGAGCTAGAGAAAGAAAAATTATAATCATTAATATATCGATGATAGTTGAAACTGTGGGATTTCAAGTTGAAGCTGTTAGATTACCTAAGGAACAGCCATAAATGGAATCTATGAAGAGAAGCTCAAGTTAACATTAGCCATGAGATTACCTAAGTTAGAAGCGAGAAAGGCCTAGAACAGAGTGCTGAGTATAGAGACGGTCCCAAACTTACGATGGCTGGACTTAATGATTTTCAACTTTAAATGGAGAGAGAGTGACATGCGTTCATTGGAAATCACACTTTGCATAGCCACACAACCATTCTGTTTTTCACTTTCAGTACAGTATTTGATAAATAATGTGAGACACTCAATGCTTTATTATAAAATAGGCTTTATGTTAGATGATTTTGGCCACTTAGGCTGACTTAAGTATTCTGAGCATGTTTAAGGTAGACAAGGCTAAGCTATGATGTTTGATAGGTTAGGTATATTAAATACATTTTGACTTAAAGATATTGTCAACTTATGGTGGGTTTATTGGGACGTAACCCCATAGCAAGTTGAGGAGCATCTATACTAATGTTTAAAGGAGGAGTGTGGAACAGACTGATAAAGAATGACCAGAATGGTAAGACATAGAGAGTAGTATTAGGGCATCCAAGGGCAGAAAGTATTTTGAGAAAGAGAACTGTGTCAAAAACTGCTAGGATACTAAGAAAGGTGGGGATTCTGTCAGGTAAAGAGTAGATCTTGCTTAAGATCCTAAAAGATAATACAATTTTTAAAATTATAACAAAATTATTAACGAATGCTTTCATACTTAACAGTCCTCAGCCATATGAAAATTCACTCGTGGAATCCTTTATTCTCAGTGATGCCAGATAAAAAGTTTTTACTGTATATTTTAACATTTACTTTTAGCTGTTGGCATTCAGTAGAAAGTAAATTGCATGTTCATTACATCGTTATTTATAACTGGAAATAAATCAGAAAGATGTAATGAGAAAACTGTAAAATAAACTATGGTTAGCCTTTTACTGCAGCCTTATGATGCCTAATAATTGGTATTGACATGGAAAAAGCCCTTACATAAATTGCTATGGGCATGATCCTTATATTCTGATGTTCAGTACAAAAAATTCTTTATAGCTGCAAAATTCGTATATACATAAAAAGGCTGGTTGGAAGCACTCAATGGTATATGAGAGGCAGAAGTGGAAGGCAGTTATTGAGTTAGTTTTTGAGGTAGTATTTGAGGTAGTTTTTGAGTTAGAGGAAGGTTAGAATCTTAATACCTACTTTTTGACTTTAGCAAGTATTACTTTTCTGTACTTAGCTTTTCTTTTCTTTTTTTTTTTTTAAGCATATCCGGCTGTTATGTGAATTACTGGCCTTCAGATCCATCCATGTTGCTGCAAAAAACATGATTTCATTCTTTTTTACAGCTGAATAGTATTTCATTGTGTATATATGCTACATTTTCTTTATGTGATTTTGTTTTTTTGGTTTAAGGGAAAATTTGTTTGGGAACATAGTAGGAAGTGACAGTCAGTTTAGTGTCTCATACTGTTGAAAATGTTCAAAACTACATCCATTAGTAACATTTTTTAGTGTCCAGCTATCAATCATTAGCATACATATGCCTCTAATTATATGTTAAACATGATTTTTATTTACTAAAATATTCCATATATATAAGAACTATGCACTATATGCCAAATTTCTGAAAAATTATTTTAGATATTTTTGAATCTGCATTCAAGTTACTTTTTTTGTTTAAAAAAAAACAAAACAAGACTACATTGTTGACTGACTTTGTGATAACTTCGACCTGTTAAATCTTCTGATACTTAGTCTTATTTTTTTCTCTATAAACATGTCTTAAATTTATGCTTATTGAATTTCATTTTTTGCTAATTTGGATATCTTAAGGTATGAAGATATGAAGAAAAGGATAAAGGAAGAAATGTCCCTAAATACTACTTCTGATTATAGTTTCTTATTTCAACTGCTGTCTTATGGAAGAATGCCTTAGTGAAATGGTTTTTCAGTGAAAATTTGTTTGATTTTTTTTAATAAGTGTTTATAATTTTCTCTGGTAACTAACTGCTTTAATATGTATTACATTTTAAATCTCCCTTCCCCTTTGTCTCATACATAGGGGAAAATAGAAAATTGCGTCTTGGTTAAGTTTTACGTATAAATTTATACCATGATTTTCCATAGGGTATAGTATGTAGTTGACTAAATGCTTACAAACCAATGTTGCAACCTGAGTTTTGTTTTATGTACACTTTAAGCATATACAGAATTAAACCACCGTTTAAGGGCAGATAGCTACCATGTATCTCTAGATAGATCATGTCACCTATCTAGTATTTTGGTTGAGAATATATAACCTAAAATCTAATCATTGCTAAAACATCAAACCCCTAATTAGCAATATTTTATTAATAAAAGGGGGTTGGGTTTTTATTTTAAAATGTTAATGTCATAAAAGACAAAAGAAAGGCTAACAAGACATGACAACTGAATGCTGTACTTGACCCTATTTGCCCATTATTAGGCTCCTGTTCTGGAGGTGCAGGATATGCCACAAAGGATATTATTGGATTTATTACAAAATTCAGAATACAGATAATAGATTAAAGTATTGTTTTGATGTTAGGCTTACTGGAGTTGTTAGCCACTGTGGTTATGTAAGAGAATGTTCCTATTAGGCAATACATATTAAAGTATTTAAGAGTAAAGGGCCACAATGTATGTAACTTCTTAAGTGGTTTAGGGGAGGTGGGGGAATGTGTCTGTATGTGTCTGTGTGCGTGTGCGTTTGTGTGTAAAAAGAAAATAAGACCTAGAAAATGTGAACAAAACTGTATCTATATTTACATATTTAGTAATCCGTATTTACTTTTATTTTTTAGGAAAGCAAAATAGATGAGCACCATTTTGTTGCTGTAGCTCTTAGGAAACCTGATGGATCTAGACATCAGGAGGTAAGATTTTGGGATTTCTTTTTTCTAAAAAGCATGAATCAATGTTGTTTGTTCTTTATTGATGGAAATAGTAATTCGCCTTTTATCAGGTTAGAGGGGTGTATTTTTTTTTTTTTTTTGAGATTTTAGACTTAGAAGTATTTTTTCATTATCAAATCTTTAAGACCACTGGGGATTTTGCAGAAACATTTTTAAAAAGCATGCTACCTGCTTCACATTCAAATACATTTAAATATTAAAAAGAAATAATTTTGGTAGTACTGTCATAGTACTCATATTTCCATAGAAATTCAAGATAATTACTATCTTGGTCATCTTCACAGTAATTTATTTTCTGGTGAATGGGGCTGTGTTGAATATAAGGGTACCAAGTTGAAGGTTGGTGAGTAATGGAATTATCTTGCAAATTGAACCCCCTCCCCCTTTTAAAGTAATATCCTAAATTATTCCCAAAGTTATATGTTAAACATGTGAGAGACCTTATGTCATATTGTGGTACAACATCAGTCTCAATTCAATTCCTTCTTCTTGTACTTTCTTATGCTATTATCTAGTAAGTGAGGGGGAAAAAACCTTCGGATCAAAAACTTACAGAGTTGTGATTCTGCGGAAGTATTTATTTAAGCAATACTGATATGTTATCATTGAAACTACATACACGTCATTATTTTTAGGGAATCCATGTGAGAGAATGTGGCATGACCAATATATGCACATCATTACTTCTAGAAAAATAGCTCAAGCCACAGACCATGCCTTTGATAGTGTAAGGATTAAAATTCTTCATAGATTATCTTCCTTAAAAAAGGATGGCATGTCAAAATTGATACCTGTTATCTGAAAGACATTCTGACCCAGATTCCTCTTGTTCTCATGTCTCAGCTATACACTCTCTGCAAATACCTTATATTTCTGTAGAGCATTATAATTTGTGACACATTTGTACATTCAGTGCTTTTGATAGAGCCTATTTAGGCAGTGGCGGCATAGTGGAAAGACTAGAGTACAATTCAGAAGATCTGGATCACAGGCCCAGGTCTACCATTTAACCTGTTCTGTGAGCTTGAGCAAATTGTCTGAATTGTTTGATCTTCCTGAGCCCCAAATACCTATCTATAAAATTGAGATAACAACCATATCACAGCATAGCTGTGAGGCAAATTGTGTAAAATAAGTACTGGACCTTGTTAAGGCATAATATAAAACCCAAGCACTATTTATACAAGAATGTGTAGAATATTAAAGAAGGTCTATACTGAGTCGAGTTGTGAACGAGGGATGTATCTCATAGGGTATAAAACACAGTTTAAATTTAGTATTGAGTAACTTCCTAGAGAAGTATTCGTCTCTATGTAGTTTTGGCAGTTTTATCTGATCCACCCTCTAGAGTAATATTTCTCAAAAGTTTGCTATGTGACCCAACTTTATCAAAATAACCCACCTGCTTATTAAAATTACAGATTTTGGGATCCCTTTTAGCTCATATGTACTGAGTCAGACTTTTGGGATGTGGGCTCAGTAAATCTACGTATTAAACAAATACCACAGGTATTATGTCAAAAAGTTCAAGAACCAGGTTTACTATTTCATACTTTTGGCAATAGTAATACAGGAATAAAAACAATATTCTAGAAATTCTACTATGTTATAATTTAATACTACTGAAATGTAATTTGGTCTTGTTATTTTCATAATTATGAAATTGATCATAAGATTAACACGCAATGTAACAGTGAGGTAATCTGTTTTTTTCCCTTTCAGGTTCCATCTCAAGATGATTCTAAACCAACCCAGAGGAAATTTACTATTCTCACCTTTAATGATTTAATAGCATCTGCTGTTCCCATGACACCTGAAGATCCTTCCTTTTGGGACTGCTTTTGCTTCACAGAAGAAATTCTAATACGAAATGGTACAAAGTCATGATTTCCTGAATAACAAAGGGAAATGAAAACTTTTTGTAATCTTTCATATTCACTGAGAAATAAATGCTTGATAGTATCAAACTTTATTTCACAGAAATTTTTTAAAAAATGAAAGCTTTTCCTATTAAAAAAGGAGACTTCCAGTTCAAGATAGCTCACTAGAATACATGTTTACCTCTTCCTCTCCAAAATTGCATTAAATTGGTAGAAATAGAAAGGATGGCAGAATCAATCTTAAAGTGATACATGCTTACTGTAGAAAAAAATAGAGACTGCAGATATGCGAAAAGGAAATATTTAAATCCTGGGTTACGGAGAATTACTCTTAAAACCTGAATATCTTTTCAGACCTTTTTTTGGCAAATGAATCCGTAATAACATATTTGATTTTTTTTTTTTAAATGGGAACATACTATTTTAGAAGGGCTTATTTTTGGTTTTTGTTTGTTTTGTTTTGTTTTTAGAGGCTGGGTCTTGTTCTGTCATCCAGGCTAGAGTGCAGTGGCACTATTCCAGCTCACTGCAACCTTGAACTCCTGGGCTCAAGCAATCCTTCCGTCTCAGCCTCCTGAGTAGCTGGGGCTACAGGCATGTGCTACCATGCCTGGTTAATTTTATTTTTTCTTAGAGATGGGGTCTAACAGTGTTGCCCAGGCTGGTCTAGAACTCCTGGGTTCAAGTGATTCTTCCAACTTGGCCTCTCAAAGTGCTGGGATTATAGGCGTGAGCCCCCACAGCCAGCCTATAATTTGTTTTTTAACTGTATATCTACTGTTCATAAATAAACCTCTTTGATATAACTTTTAGTGATTCTAAAGTACTCTTGTTATATAGCTAATATAAGGAGGATGCTTTTGACCAGAGGTAACAATGTCCAGACATAATTGGCCTAAATAACCAAGGATATTTGGTATCTTACATAATACATGGTTCAGAGGTGTCATTAAAGACACTTTTTTTTTTTTTTCCTTTTTGCCTTGGCCTGTTTGTTTTGCCTTAGGCTCATCCCCCTCTCCATTACAGGAGCTACTGCTATAACTTGCAGTTTTGTATCTTTTTAAAATTGCTAAAAGGCAGGAAAGGCCATTTCTCCTCTCATTTGTTTTATCAGTTAGGAAGACTTTTCCCAAAAGCCCCCAGAAGATTTCCCCCTCAGTTTCCATTGACTCAGATGAGGTCACAGAGAAAGGCAATGTCTGACATTTTTACCCTCTCTTAGGAGGAGACTGTTGAAAATGAAGAAGCTAAGGTGGGCTTGGGAGAATGGAATTGAGGTGAAGCCCACTGCCTGCCATAAGAAAGGTGTGCCACAATTTACTCATTTCTTTTCTATTAAGACATTTTGATTGCAGTTAATTAAGCAGTGTTTCAGTGAATGTCCTTGTACATTTTGAGGTACGTGCTTACTTATGTCCTTAAGTTTCCGGAAGTGGAATGACTGGTTCACAGGGCTTAAACATTTTTAGAACTTTGATGAGTTTTACCATATTGCTCTCCACAAATGCTGTACAATTTACCCTTTCAGTTAGTACTATATGTGTGGCCACCCTCCTACCTACATATTTCCTGGTCAATTGTAGGTATTATCTTTTTTTAATTTAATCTTTGCCAGTATAACTGAAAATGGTATGTGATTTTAAAAATACGTATTTCATTACACATGACGTGGATATATCCCATCAGTGTTGTTATTGGTTGGTTGTGTTACATTTTTATGAACTGCCTGTTCATCATCTTTACCTGTTTTTATTTTAAAAAGTAGGACTTAATTTAAAGTGGAAACATAATATATAAGATGCCAAGACCATCATATTGATGACAGAATCTATTATATGGTTGTAGTGCATGTTTTGGGGAGTTTAAGTCTTGTTAAGTATCAAGAAGTAAAATAATTTCATTGTTTCTATTAATATTACTAACATTAAAAGTTGTGTGTAAATTGTATTAAATTAGTAAAAAAAATTGGAATGTTTTATAATTTTTTAATTTTATTAAGCATGCCAAGTTATTCTAAACATAGTAAATAATGTGTTTTAAAAAGATCAAGTAGCATTTATGATAGAGGAAGTATTGTTATCCCTAGCATGAGTGTAATGGTGATATGAAAATACACTTCTCATTATAATAATAAAAAATTAGCATTTATTATAGAATTTTATGAGCCTGATACTGCTGGATTTTGTGGTTTCTAGTTTTTTGTTTTTCTATTTTTTATCAAAGTTACACATGCACACAGTTTAAAAAGTCAAGTAGATCTATGAGATTTTTTCCTTCTAAGGAAAAATACCACTACTTCGACTTCCTCCATTTCCTGTCCCTAGGGCAAGCACTTTCAACTCGTTTAGCTGATATTTTTTGTTATTTAGTACCATATCTCCAAATAACATACTTATATTGCTTTTACTTGATTTTTAAAATTTTAGGCATTGTCTTTTTGCTTCTTTAATATAAAGTTTCCCTCTTCTGCTTCTTAGCATTACTCATTCCCCTTTTACCCCCTTTCTCCTCCCAACATAATTATATTGCAATTCAATGTTTACATTATTGGCTATGATTACATGAAGAATATGTGTACATTACTGAGATTATGTAACTGCTTTTCACAACTGAGTGATATATTATCCTTACCCTATACTACATTTTTATTTCCTTGAGTTAATAATTGACTTTGCATAGATATTTACCATATGTGTGAATATCTTTTTATTCAGACGTATCAGCTACTCTATCCAGTTTCATCTTCTTGAAGAAATCACTCCTGGAGCAATCTGCTTTGTCCATTCTGGACTTTCTGCCTTCTGTGGCTTGTGCATAGCTGTTAACTCTATATTCATATCCGCTTTTTTCAAGTATTTGGTGCTGCCAGGTGCTGAGTCCTGTGCTAGGCTGAACCACAAGTGCTGCTTTATGTCCAAAACCGTTCCTTGCATTGTACCATACTCCCTAGTGTATGGCTCTATTTATATAAGTTTTCTACATAGGAATTCTCACGTATTGATTTAAAAAGTGGATCCGTGTATATATCCCTTGCTATTCACACTCAGAAATTGAATAGATTTGGATAAAATTTCAGTTAAATTTTTCTCTGTCAGAATTCTTACCTACTCAGTATCTGAATCTCAGAAACCAATTAGCTTTGAGTAACTAAACAGCCCCTCATTAGTTGAACTGTTGACATCCGAACTTAACCGAATTGATTTATACATACACGTGTGCACATATATCTTTGATCAAAAATATTCCTGAAAACAATTCCAACTATTAGTACTCTTAACCAAATTGAAGAGGATATGAAGAGAGCTAATGATGGATTTCATTTTTATGGGGAAAATAAATATGCCATCATAGTATTTGTAAATTGGGGATTGGCAAAGATCTTTGGATATATCTCCAGTTTATCAGTTAACATCAGTGACTGCTTTATATATCTTATGGTATTTAAAATAATTATCTTCCATCCTAAGTGCTTCACATGTATCAGGCTACTTACTCCTCATAACCTTATGGACTAGGTGCCATTTGCCCATTTTACTGATGGGGAAAATAAGGTACTGAGATATTAAGCAACTTACTAAAGGTTATATATCCATTCAATAGTGGAGCTTGTTATTTAAACCTAGACAGCCTAGATCCAGAGCCTGAACTCTACCCCTATATTAAGTGGTGTGCTGAACACATACTAAATTGTGTGCTGGTAAATGTTTAACAATCAGCAGTCCTAGGGCAGGGATGGGTGGCTTTTATACGTAGCTTGTGCTGATTCCATGAAATAATGCTACATATATTAATAGTATTTGACTATGCATCCATAATTAATACATAGTGTTTTGTGCTTGTACCTTAGATTAAGATTGAAACATTAGGATGGAATCTCTTTGGGTGTTGCTTAGAAGTAGAAACAGTGTCAGAATAATTGAGCTCACTTAAGCCTAAGCTTCTCAAAGGAGAGTATACATACTTAGGGGTAGGCAATGGTGTGTTACTCACTCATCACAAGACAGCAATTGAGCACCTAGAGGCATCCATTTTACCTAAATTTTTGGAAAGCACTTTTTATAATGAGAGCAATACAGGTGTAGTAAGAATGCAAACTTGCCCACATTTTAAGTAAAAAGGTGAGGGGCATCAGAGAAATTTTTCTGCCCAGGAGTATGTAGTCACTGTTCTTTACTTTTAGGATAATTTTTCAGTGAAGAAATTGGAAAGGAACCAACGTTAAAGGGAAGAAAAGTAACATTTATTGAGTACTTGGGCAGGAGGGCCCAGTGTGTGGTGTAACGCACCACTTTGCAGGTCACCTTCAGGAGCGTGCCAGCGTGCTAGGTGTAAAGCCACCCTTCTGCTGGCAAAGAACCTTCAGCAGTAGGCAAGCAGAAGCCCAAAACTTTGGTGGTCCTAATAGTTCTGTGACTGTTTTTTTTTTGTTGATATTAGCATCCTTTAAAGCCCTTTCTGTGCTTTCCTGGTGTTGTATGAGTGAGAAACCTGCTGAACTGGTTCTCTTCTTTGAGTCCATGTTCACTAGGTGATAGAAATTTTGCAGCTCCATTATAATCTTATGGGACCACCTATGCAGTGCCTAGTTGACTAAAACCCCTTTATGCAGTGCATGACTATGTGTCTATCTCTACGTTTGTTTGTATGGTGTCTATATCTTCCTTCCTTCTCTGAACTCTTTAAGTTTCAGACATTGTGTTCACACTTGACTTATATCCTTAATTTGAACATCGTAGCTGTCCTACATGGTAAGTATGGTTTCTCCTGTTTTAAGAATGTACAATATGAGGCCCAAAGAAATTAGGTAATTTTTCTGAGGTCACCGTACTAGTAAATGATGTCATTCTGAATTCAATTTAGTTTCCATGAACTCGAAAGCTCATTCTTCTTTCTTCTATATCACACCGTCATCAAGATGAATGGTGGAAAACCTTACTTCTGCCTTATATGTTGTAAGCAAGACTGCCCTTGAAGCAGGTCTCATGTTTCAGAAAATGGGATTGAGTTTAGGATTTGAATATTATTCCCAAAGGGTGAATTTGAATCTTATATCTATCTACCTATGTGTTTTACTGCTGCAATTTCTATTGTCTTTGATGATCATCGAAATTTATTCCTCATTTTACACAATTTAGCACCTGAGAATATTAAAAGTTCGTTTCTTTATTTAAAGTGCCAGAATTATACAATGAATTTATAATGTCAAAGCAATGGCTGTGATTTTATTTTAAACTGTAAAGGAAAAAGTCATTGTTTTTGTTGAAAGAGTTTAAGATACGTACTTGATGACATGCCGGAGCTTTATTGGTCAAAACCATAGTAGGGTTTTAGAGCCAGTTATTATTTATAGTTAGGTGAAAATCATTATCTCTTAGAGGGTAGCTGATTATTTAAAATATTAATAGAAATTAAACTTTTTCTTCATAGAGTTTATATTTTAGAATGAGCTTCACTTTAAAATCTATGTCATATTTGCATTGAAAAACTTAATTCCACTGGGTACCAGTTGTGAAATCATTAACTTGACAGGAAAATAGCTGTCAATACTTGTCATTTCGATACATAAACATAAATAGTATAGGTCACAGTGTAACTACTTATAACTGCTGGACTCTGGTTTTCATTTGGCATTTATTTCTAAACCACTGCTCTGAGTTTGTGGATGATGATCAAATGCTCATTTAATAGTAGTTTTTAAATTGGTGTCAGGAGGTGGAAGTACAGAGATGGTGTAATCAATATGGTGTATTGATTCTTATACTGGGTATAAGGAAGCTGTTCATTGGTTTTCTATTTTTGTGGATATGTAGCTCCTAGAAATAAGAAACTAGACCATTTTATTCAAATAATTTTTCAAAGTAAATGCACACGGTGAATGAACTTAGATAATAATCAACACATTCAAAATCTGATATTAATTTAGAGATTTAAAATAGGTCAAAATAGACCTGTAGACAATGAAACATTTGCAATAAATGGTAATTAAAGCAAAGAAATAGCATGAATCGCCAAGCACAAGTTCCTGTTGTTTCCCCAGGTACCCTTCATACATAAATGAGTGCAGTTGACCATTTAGTTGAGTAAAAGCATTAATCTTTTAGTAACTTAGAAGAGATAAGAATAATATGGTCAAATTTGATTTGTATCATTATCCTAGATCTATTTTCTTTAATAATCAAAGAATTAATTTGAGCCAGGCACGGTAGTAGATACCTGTAGTCCCTGCTACTCGGGAGACTCAGGCAGGAGGATTGCTTGAGCCCAGGAGTTAGAGACCAGCCTAAGCAACATAGAAGACACCCCCATTTCAAAACAAACAAAAAAAGGAATTATTTTGAATTCTATTGTTTTTATTTAGATATTCAGGATAAGTCTAACTGACCTTAAAGCAAATGAATTAAAATCATTTTAGAGCCAACCTAGACTAGAAAAGTCTGATCCTGGAGTCTTAATAAAAGTAATCTGAACATCTCTTTTTGTTAAGAAAAAAATGTAAATAAATAAATACAATTCTTTGAGGACAATCTTTATGTGGAAGAGGATTTATGAAGTTGTAAAAAATAAATAGCATGGATTTGGGGTTAAGAATATGGACTTAACTGCACTTGCTTTCACAGAAAACATGGTTCAAAGATCAAATACATTGTTAAAATTGCCTCTTACAAAAACTGACATCCTTTTAACTTTGAGCATGATTAA